TGTAAGACAGAGATCAGATTTAAAGGTGAAGTAGTTTTTTTACTCATTTATTTCATAAAAAAAGGTACATATAAAAAACAGAACACATGCTGATTACTTTAATCAACTGTAAAAGAAGGAACCAGTAAGTACCTGCGTTGGCATTTTCTTTGTTTCTAATATCCTTACCTGTGTCTTCATTTTAGACTTTAGTATGATTCCACTTTTTAGTAGTGTATTTTGAAGCCAAATCTTTTCCATTTCTTTTTTTTTTATTAAAATTTTTTTTAATAAACGTTTATTCATTTTTGAGAGACACAGACACAGTGTGAGTAGGGGAGGGGCAGAGAGAGGGAGGCACAGAATCTGAAACAGGCTCCAGGCTCTGAGCTGTCAGCACAGAGCCTGACGCAGGGCTCGAACCCACGAACCATGAGATCATGACCTGAGCCAAAGTTGGATGCTTAACCGACTTAGCCACCCAGGCACCCCCACCCAACCCTTTATTAAATATAGAAACTTCTTCCTATTAAGGATCAAATCTTTGTTCTGTCCCAACATAAACACATCCGTTATAACTTGTCACGTTGGGAAGTAGGAACAACTGTACTCAGAACAAGCTGTTCCTCAGAAATGTGTTTACTTAACCTACTTGTCTCCACCAAGGCAGAAGGATTCTGGGTCTTAAAAATTGTTATCCTAGTTTGGTTTTGCTTCTAGAAATTTACATTTTTAAAGATTGAAGTACTATGAGTAGTCATTGATTAAAACTTAGGAGCCGTTGAAGTTTGTGTTTTGTTTTAATTGAAGTATAGTTGACACACTGTGTTAGTTTCAGATGTGCAGCGTAGTGATTGGCAGTGACAGTTCTGGGTGCTGTGCTCAACTCGAGTGTAGCTACCAACTGTCACCACAGTGCCATTACAGTACCATTGACTGTATTCCCTGTGCTGTACTGTTCATCCCTGTGACCTATTCATTTCCATAACTAGAAGCTTGTCCTCGCACTCCCCTGCACCTATTTTGCCCATCGCTCCGCTTCCCTCTTCTCTGGCAACCACCAGTTTGTTCTTTGTATTTATGGGCCTGTTTCTGCTTTCTGCTTTTTGCTTTTAGATACCACATATAAGTGAAATCGTGTGAACTATTAAAGGTTTTAGGAAGGAAAGTCAAAAAGTAGAAATTAACACTCTAGTAGAATAGTTAATGGGAAAGCTTTTATTCAAGTAAATTTTTAATGGCTTCTATAATGTGTGATTTACATGGCGGGAGGGTGACTGCATAGTTTTATATCCTTGCACCTGAAGAGCCTTTTGTGCTGTGGCTTTTTTACAACAGTGTAGAAAATCCCTGTTTAATTTCAGGAATTTTTAATTTTAGGAATTTTTCTAAAGAAGTCATGCTTATTAAAGATGATTTGGGGGCGCCTGGGTGGCGCAGTCGGTGAAGCGTCCGACTTCAGCTCAGGTCACGATCTTGCGGTCTGTGAGTTCGACCCCCGCGTCAGGCTCTGGGCTGATGGCTCAGAGCCTGGAGCCTGCTTCCGATTCTGTCTCCTTCTCTCTCTGTCCCTCCCCCCTTCATGCTCTGTGTCTCTCTGTCTCAAAAATAAATAAACGTTAAAAAAAAAAAATTTAAAAAAAAATAAAGATGATTTGGAGAGAGGAGAGTAAATTTATATCTGCCACATTTTTTTAAATTTTTGCATCCTGTTTACTGTGTACAAGGTTGTCATGTCCTGTTTTAATAAACATAGCAGTAGTCGTACTATTTATTAATGTTGCTTTTACCAATCCCTTTTATACATTATGTTAACCTTATGTAAACATAAATACGTGTTTTATAAACTTGGGTTTTTTTTTTAATGTTTATTTATTTATTTTGAGAGCAAGAGAGAGAGCATAAACGGGAGAGGGCAGAGGGAGGGAGGGAGACAATCCCAAGCAGCCTTCGTGCTGTCAGCGCTGTGCCCAGCACTGGGCTCGATCTCATGACTGTGAGATCATGACCTGAGCTGACATCAAGAGTTGGGTGCTTAACCAACTGAGACACCCAGGTGTCTCTAAACTTTGGATTTTAAGGTATTGTTTCATGAAAATATAGTTTATTTATTGGATATCGGGATTATTTCTTATTTTTTAAAATGTAAGTCTTTTACTGTGGCTGAGTGTTTCTGTATTTGATTTTTTAATTGGTTTATTTATAGGAAGGCTTTTATAGGCTTTTTTATAATTGATGTATATAGAACAGTAAACATTAACTTGTCTTTTTTTCCTGAAGACCATGTGAGAATCCTTGAAGACAACTTTAAATAATTGACTGTTTTCTTTGCAGGTTATAGTTATGAGTGCTACCTTGGATGCAGGGAAATTCCAGATTTACTTTGATAACTGTCCTCTCTTAACTATTCCTGGGCGTACACATCCTGTTGAAATCTTTTATACTCCTGAACCAGAGAGAGATTATCTTGAAGCAGCCATTCGAACAGTGATCCAAATTCATATGTGTGAAGAGGAGGAGGGAGATCTTTTACTTTTCTTAACTGGTCAAGAGGTATCGTCATTGTTTGCTTCATTATTTAGCCTTTAAACATAGTAAATTATGCAACTTTTTAAGCCCAAGAACTTGGCATATATTAACCACATATTTCTTATCCCATGGTATAAAGTTTCTCTTCAGCTTGATTGCATTTATATATGAAATACATAACCCCTTTGTATACTCTGTGGATACCTCTGTGTCATTAGTGTTAATTACCCTGAGAATAAATTGTTTTAGAATTTCACGATTTAGCAGCTGTAGTCTCAACTTTGGAGAGACCTGGGTGCGGTAAGTAGTGGTGTGTGGTAATTTGCGGTTTTGCTGAGATATGAATTTGATCCACACAACCCCTATGAAGTCGGGTTGTTAGCTTGTGAATGAACTTGAGTAACTTGGATGCCCATCCAACGTCAGAATGAATGTTTGTGTTTTGGTTTGGTCATCTGTGTGTGCGCTGAGGATTGTAAGAAATCATTGAAATTTTTTAGTTAGAATTTACCCGTTTTAAGATACACGTTTTATTCTCAGGTGCTGCATGTTTTAAACTTCTTTCCCACGGTAGCTTTATAGGTGTGCTGTGACATTCTGGAGCTGAAGTTGAGGAAAAAGCTGTCTGGATAAATCCGTTTCAGAGAGCCTTTTGGTGGAGGCTGTTCTTAGAATTTGTCTTCTGTTTCAGTAGGCTTTAGGGGTTTTCTAGAATGTGCTTCTCAAACTGACATACGTGCAGATCACGTAGAAAATTTGCAGATTCTGATTCAGTAGGTCGGGTGGAATCTGAGACTGTTCCTGACAAGCTTCCAGGTAATGCTGAAGCTCCCCAGGTTTGAGTCGCACAGGTTCTAGAGCGGCGTTGTTCTGTTAGACCTTTTTTCAGTGCCACACGTGTTCTGTAACTGTGCTGTTCAGTGTGGGGTAGTCAGCGGCAGCGTATGGCTTGTGAGTGTTTGAATGTGGCTAGTGAGAGAAAGGACTAAATTTTAATTTTACAGCATTTGAATGAAGAGCTACCTGTGACCACCCTTTTCCTGTTTCAGTTTTTGTATGGCCCATTAGTTAAGAATTTTTTTTTCCGTTTTAAGTTTATTTATTTTGAGAGAGGAGAGAGTAAGAGTGCGGGGGAGGGGCAGGAGAGAGAATCCCAAGCAAGCTCCTAGTCGCCAGCCTGGAGCCCACACACTGTGAGAGCGAGACCTGAGCTGAAACGAGAGTGGAACACTTAACCGACTGAGCCACCCAGGTGGCCCTGTTGTCACATTTCTGAAATGTTGTAAATAAGACCAAACAATGTGCAACAGACAGGCTGTGTGGATGCAAAGCCTGATGGTTTTGGCCCTTATGGTAAAAGGTCTGACCTCTGCCCCAGAACATTTCTCAAGTGTGGCCAGTGGACTGCCTGCCTGGGGAAGGAGAGTTTGTTAAAGCAAGTTCTTGGTCCTGTTCCAGACTTGCAGAAATAGGTGAAACCTGAGGCCAGATATAGGAATCTGCATCTTTGATGAGGTCTACAGGCCACTTTTATATTTCCTTAGGTTTAAAGGTCACTGTCCCAGAGGGATGTTTAAGCCTGTATAATTCCTGTAGTACGTTAATGACACAACTCTGGACAGGGTTGTGGGGAATTGCCCTAGTTCTCCCAGATACCAAAATCCGAGGTCTTCTGTGTGATTGCCTGCCTCTATTGGAATGTGAATTATTTGATTTGTATTCAGTTTCTACGGGAATGCTTGGTATACATAATATTTGAGCAAATGCTATTGCTTTAAGAGCTAGAAATGTTGAGTAATTGTTTATCCCTGCATTTCTTCAGTATTCATGTAATTTACGATTTGTGCCCCATTGGCCGTGGTTCCTTTTCTATAGAGCAAGGGTTTTCAACCTCAGCGCTGTTTACCTAGTAGTTCAATCAGTATTTTTGTTGTGGGGCGCCCTGTGCATTGTGGCATCTTTGGCCTTATCCGTTAGATGCAGTAACATTCCCTCCTCCGGTTGTAGCAACTAAAAATGTCTGCAGACATTGCCAGATGTTCCCTGGGTGGAAAATCACTCCCAATGCAGTCCTACTTTTTCTTTTGGGATATAAAACGTGTTGCAAATTCAGTTTTACGGATACACCTCTGTTGGTACTAGTCTTCCTTTCTATGTGTTTTGAATGGAAGAATTTTTATATATTTTGTAAACAAGAGTACCAAATGCTTTTTTGATGGCATATAAACAGTATTTATGCTCTGATGCAGTGTTTAGGTTGTTGAGGTCTTTTTGTCCTTTTGTATCTGGTCTCTAGTTTCTTCATCTAGAGTGCATAGTGTATTTTCTTAAACGACTTCTTAAAATAGCCATTATATTCAGATAACTAAGCAAATTAGAATTTTATCAAATATCAGATGGTCTCATGAAAGGCTTTTCTATGATTTAACTTCATATACTTGATATTTTGGCAGCCATCCCATATTTGGGGAAAGGGAGTAAGCCCCATGGTTTTCAGATGTGTGCTGGAGTGTATGTTTTCCAGTGAAGTTATTAACTGTAATTGTGAACTAGTTTTGCATGTGCCCTGTTATATTTTTAAATACCCTTTAGGTGACTAGGTTTGAATTTTGAAGATCTTTAGGGAGAAAGTAGCAGAGTACCTAATGTATTTTGTTTCACTGATTGTGTTTAGTAGAGCTGACTCAAAGACATATAAAATACTATTTTTCCATGGCTGTGAATCTGTGTTACTTTTACATGGTCAGTTAAATGGTAGATTCCTAGAATTCTCCGGACTCTTGTCTTCATAAATTTGAATAGCACCCATAAAATTTAGTTTTCTCATGAAATTTTAAAATGATTTTTTACGAGCATTTTACCATTTTGACCACTTAAACAGTAATGCTTGTGTGCTAATCTGAGTAAATTTGGGTAAAGGAGATCAATCTTAATTGGTGAAAGGTTGGGAAGAATTTGAATTCTAGAATTTTTTTGTGTTATGTTAATGCATAAAATCTGGACTTATGATTAAAATTAAAAGTCCTTAGGGAAGCTATACTTCTGAATTAGATAAGAGTGATTGTAACTGAAATATCAATTGTTTGTGATATGAAGATGTTGAAACCATTCTTAAAGCAGCACGTTCTTTTACCGTGAATTTTGATGAATAAAATATCTTTTCCATATGCAGTGAGTTCAGCCTCCTCAAATTACTAGTCCAAATTTATTTATTAACCTATATTAATACTTTTGGAGCTGAAAGTTGTAAAAACTCCTGAGCTTCTGTCTCAACACTCAATCTTGCTCAAAACTAACAGATGGTTGCTTTATGCTGATGAATGTCAATGAGTTTTGTTCTTTTCTGAACTTCCCATGTTGACTGTGGGAATTTGGTAAACTTAAGGAAAAATTTTGTTGCAGTTTTAAAAGTGTTTAGAACTTTGCTTACATAAAAAACATAAGTGGTGTCAGAATTTTTTCCTCTCAACTTTAGAGATATCTTTATATCCCATGCAGTAGTGCTTTTGTTTTAACTCTGTACACATTTGACAGATTGGATAGCCTAGTCCAAGTAAAACTGGGGTTACCTTGTTAAAATTCTGGAATCTGCAAATGTACGATTTTGGGTACTTTGTTTTCTGATATATGACATCTGGATGTTTGCTGGCGTTGGACCTTTTATTGTCTGGTCAAATACATGTTTAATTAAGTAAATTAAAAACATTCTGGATATTGGAATCAGTTTTTTCCTATTTTCTTTTTCTTAATTTTAGAAAAAAACTAACTTGGGGCTTATATCCAAATCTTTTTGATTTGGAAGAGATATAATTTTGTATTTGCATACCAGCAGGGGGCATTCTAATCTAGATACAGCATTTAAAAGCTTTTTTTTTTTCCCCTAAAAATATTTGTTCTATTTGTTGTAGTTTTTCTTTCAATCAGTAGCAGTCTTTGATTTTCTTTTAAAACTTCAGATTTCAAAGGGAACTATTAACATCAAGTCCTTAATAGTAATTTTCTGTGTGATAATTTTCTAAGACCCTTATCTTTTTTTTAAGGAAATTACTGTATTTGAACGAGAGGGGAAAATTTTTGTTCTTAAGTGCCCAGAAACTTTGTATTCTTTAGCATGGAAACAGAATTGCATGTTGATTTAAAATCATTTCAAGGAAAATCATTTTAGTTTGATGTAATAAAAATACAGACTACATTTACCTGATACATTTTCCCCCTTTTTTGTTTAATCATTCTGATTTTTAAATAAGAGATACTTTGTTGATAAAGATAGCTTCTGATTGGGTCGTCCATTGGATAGGCTTCCACATTATTTAACATACTTCTGAGTATAACCAAATTAAGGTTTCAGTAAAATTTAAATTTCTGGGTCCCCCCCCCCATTTTTAAGTCCCCTTGCCACTCCCTTAGAGCCTTCACCTACCTCTCATTTTCTGTCTCCCACACTCTGAGTAATCATTGTGTGTCTTCTCTTTAAAACCTGGATTTGAATGAAAATGCATTGCGATTATATTCTGTGATGGAGAAGTTTTTGAAGATGCTAAATTATTTGGGTTAGCCTACTTCTTAAATATCTGTGTTGATACTGTAAAGGTGTTTGTTCTCATTAGGCACAATGAAGCAAATCTTCCATATAATTACATTAGCGATACGTGACATTAAAGCCTAATTGGCTTATTTAAAATATCTAGCACATCAATTTCTTTTAGATTGTGAAAATTGAAAAGGTTATGAGTGCAGTTAAATATTCCTGGGTGAGAAATTTCAATTTTAGTACAATTTGTTGAGAATTAATTAGGACATTTGACTAGAAGAAAAAGAGTGTGGAATGCCAATAAGATAGTTATCTATTTATTTGATTATAGAAATGAAAATTTCTTCAGTAGTTTTGGAAACCCAGTGAGGTTTACCTAGTTTGGATTTACCAAATTCGAAATAAGCTGTACAGAATTAAGATAATGGTAAATACTTACATGTTTCAGTGTGTATTTGTTGTTTTTACACTCAGACTTTTATTTTGTAGGAAATTGATGAAGCCTGTAAGAGAATAAAGCGTGAGGTTGATGATTTGGGCCCTGAAGTTGGTGACATTAAAATCATTCCATTATACTCTACACTTCCACCTCAGCAGCAACAACGCATTTTTGAGCCTCCGCCTCCAAAAAAGCAGAATGGAGCGATTGGAAGAAAGGTTAGCATAGAAATGTTCTCTGTAAACATTTCATTAATACAGAAAGTGTATTGAAGTATGAAAGTATGAGATCTGAAAGTATATTGAATTATTAAGGACTAAGTGATGGGTGATAGTGATCTGGATTGCACACTACAAAATCTGTATTTCAAATGCAAATATTAAACTGTATATTTAGGTGGAATTTTGCATAACTTTTGACTGTAAAGTAAGAGCATGTACTGTTTCCCATTCCCTCCTTATTTTTTTTTTTATTTTATTTAAAAAAAATTTTTTTTTTTCAACTTTTTTTTTAATTTTTGGGACAGAGAGAGACAGAGCATGAACGGGGGAGGGGCAGAGAGAGAGGGAGACACAGAATCGGAAACAGGCTCCAGGCTCTGAGCCATCAGCCCAGAGCCTGACGCGGGGCTCGAACTCACGGACCGCGAGATCGTGACCTGGCTGAAGTCGGATGCTTAACCAACTGCGCCACCCAGGCGCCCCCATTTCCTCCTTATTAAATGGGAGTTTGATTAGGATGGCTAAAGAAAAGAGGGAGATGGCCTAGTGTTGTCTTTCTCTCCATTAGTAAGTGGATTTCTTTAGAGCTCGAATGTAGATTCTCTTAGGATAGATGTCTGCCTGGCATAGGAAGGGAGCAAGGGTTTTCCAAACCTGTTTCTGGGCTCTTTGTTGGGATGGGAAGGGTATCTGAGTTCTAGTTTGAAACAGAACAGCTATCCTTTTATTTTTTTTAAGAGCTGGGTGTTCTAGTAGATACTTTGAAAATAAAATTACATTGCTTGAAAAGGTTTGAAAAACACTAGTATAGTGGAGTCAGTCATTAGGTTAAATAGTAGCTGTATATGAAATTTGTGAAGGTTCTTGATCTCTGGATTTAAAGTTTTCATTTTTTAAAAACAATTTTTTTTAACATTTATTTTTGAGGTGGGGGAGAGAGCGCATGGTAGTGGGGGAGGGGCAGAGAGAAAGGGAGACAGAATCTGAAGCAGACTCCAGGCTCTGAGCTGTCCGCACAGAGTCTGACACGGGGCTCAAACCCATGAACTGCAGTGCAAGATCATGACCTGAGCCGAAGTCGGATACTTAAGCAACTGAGCCACCCAAGCGTCCCTTAAAGTTTTCCTTTTTTAAAGTAGGTATAATTTATCTTCATCACCTTGGGAGATTATTATCAAGGATTAAGCTTTGTGTATACAGGGTACTACTATATCTAGAAGAAACTAGTCCTTCATGGTAGCTGCCATAAATTCCTTGAATATATTCACGTAGAAAAAATCTCAGTTGAAATATTACTTACTTATGATTTACTTATCAGATTTGGAATTTATTGCTCTCTTATTTCTATATTCAGGACTAACAGGGTCTCACAACTTTTTTCTGCTTTTTTTCAATCTTTTGCTAATGTTTATCATGATTATTGAAAAATTAAACATTATCAAGGTACTTAAATATATCAGGGCTAATTATTTCTTTACATGGTTGTGTAAAAGTTAAATGAACCAGATACATTTTTCAAATTAAAGGAACTTACTGAGGGGATATACAACACCAGCTTAGTGGAGTGTAAATTAACAAGAGATTGATAAGGAAGAAATCAGCCTTCTGCGTTTTTCAGATCAGCAAGAGTAGTGAATATGACTTAAAAAACTGTCTGATCAGAGCTTCATTATGTTGAACTTTTCCAGTTATTTTAGTCGTAGTGCTGTTTCTAGAACATGTTAAAATATTTTTCCCTGTTACTTTATGTGCATTCTGAACTTTGGGGGAAAACTTGAAGTTTAAGTGATAGTTTTAGTATATAATTCTGAAGTTGATCTGTTGACTGAAAAATACTTGTGGAATTCTTAGCATAATTCTGTATCAGTGGTTGTATATAAAGTAGCTGTTTTCTTACATATTTCAATAGTAAAGAGGAGTAGCCTGCAGGCAGATGATTAAATTTTTCTTGAAATCATGTACACTTTGCATATCTGCATTTGTTTTAATTTGATGGTTTTTTTTTAACCACTGAGTAAAATTACGTATATAGCAAGATTTGCCAAATTTGTGTCTTTTCGTGTAGTTCATTTTATTCCATTTTTAGGTTACTGTGAGAACTTAAAAGGGCCTGAGCTTACTGAAATATATTTCACATCTGAGCTCTTTTGCTCTGTTACTTATCAGTGTATTGGAAAATTAAGTTCAGCCTGCTGCCAGTCCAGTAGATGATACGTTTTCTAGGATCTTCAGCTTAAGCTCGTGGAGTATAATTGAACTCTCGCTTTTTGTGTTCTTTTAAATCATAAGGATATTGAGGAGAGTTTTGTCTTC